CATGAATACTCACGTGATAAACTCTGGCATCTTAATTTAACGGTTAAAATAACAATTTTTATTTTAAAAAAGACAGTTCTTACTATAAAAATTCTCTTATTTCTTCCGTACTACTCCTTTGGTCACATGTCAGTCTTCCCTTTTGTTGTTGTTGTTGTTGTTGTTTTTTTTTACTTAAATCTTATTATTATTTTTTATTTTCTATTTTTTTTTCTTTTTTAGATGCTAATACAGTTTAATATTTTTATGATGTACTTTGAAATATTTTTTCCCCTGTTTGCTCCTATCAAAATAACTTCTTTTATATATGTCTTTATGTTAGTTTTTTTTCTTATTTCCTTTTTGTTAAAGGCTGATGTATAGTTTAATTTTTGGTTGACGTGCTTTTCTAAAAAATCTGTTTATTCTATCTATTCTATACCATATATGAAAATGCCGGTATGAGTTTTGATCCTGTCCCCACCGTTTTACATTATATATAGTTTTTACCTTCTTCTCTCTCCAATATCAAATATGTATTGTTCTCTTCTCTTTTTCTTTTTCTTTACTTTGATTTCTTTCTAGGGCCTTTTGATCCATAAATTTGAATAGAAATTTTAATTTTATAAGAGAAAATACTGTAGCAAAAAAGTGATGGCAAGAAATTGGCATTGCTTTAACTCTTAGGAGACGTGTGGTTCATGGATTAGAATCATGTGATTAGAACTATTTTTGATTTACGTGTATTTTTTGTGAGAGAAAATACTATAGTGCACCATGAACCATGATTCAAATCATGGTTTGAATCCTCCCACCAAACGCCCCCTTAGTTGATTTTTTATACTATATAATAATCTTATGTATTTTTTGTGCTTCCTCAAATTGACTTGTTCATTTATGTTGGTCTACTTCATGTCAACTCAATTCTTGTTCTTTAACTTTCTTTTCCTTTTTATGCTTATGCCTTACCAAAGATCCTCAATTGATTGAAGTTTATTTGTTCTTTGGCAGTGAACAAGCAATTATCACAAGGTATCAATGGCATCGAAATTCTGGAATGGACATTTTCTTGTATATAATATGTGGTCTGTTCAATTGAGTTAATTTAGTGATAATCAATTAAAAAAATATAGTTGATCATTCAATGTTTCATGTTATGTCAAATTGATTTTAGCGGTTTCATCTAATAAAGTAGCATGCATAAGTTAACCATAGAAGTAATGCCAACATTATATTGGGATCATGCACGTGCCCCCAACTAGTGTTGAAAAAATAAAAAAGACGACAGTTGAAGATCGGTACAAAATGACAAATGTTGCTTCCTTTTCCTTTTCTGGGAAAAAAATCATGGTACGAAAAACTTAGCTTGTGCTGTTAAGAGTACTGCCAAATTACTAATCAAGACTGAAAAATATCCACTTTTGCGCATGTATAAGCAGTAATTTTTTGGTTCACCGAAAAAAAAAAAAAAGGGGACCATTTTCGTAAACAGGGTATGCAAAGCATCAAAATTAGGATGTTTAGCTGGTACAAGTTTCCCCTGTGGAGGCCATCTGTAATTTTTAGTACATGAACACAAACTCCCATTTGTCGTGCCCCCTTAGATTTCTTTGTAGGTTTTTGTTCCAGTTTCATCTTTACTTCTTCACAATCATAAAATCCATTCCATCTAACATTGAAAGATTTCTCGCCTCCTCAATTTCTTCGCTGAACATTGTTTGCCTACAGCTGTTCCAATACGAACATTAGTTCAATAGTCATTAAAATTTGTAAATAATCACCATTCTTAAACATTTAAGCTTAAAGCAAGATAGGCCAATATTCACATTCACAAGCAAAAAGTCTTCAAGAACAAAAAAAGTGAAGTACATTTATTCCTCTATGCTGAGAAGTTATATCGACTCTTCCAGACGGGGTTGCTTGTACATCCAATGTAGTCAACATCTGGGGTATGGATAGACCCCCAGAGATGACAATTTCTGCACATACAAAAACCAAATATCAAACTACCTTTAAGATTCATGGATGGTTTATATAGTTTCATACTGGCACGGAACCACAATAAGACCAGTGGGGGCACATGCCCCCACTGAAAACTTGAAAAGCTATTGTATATCTTCTACACTGTCTATTGAACTCCCAGTTCCTCACCCAGTACTGTCTTTTATATAGCTTTGGGCTTGATTTAACTCACTTTTTAAATTGTCATATGGACTCTTCTTTTTTCTAAGGTTCAATACATGTTCAAATTCTTTTTATTTTCAACAATGTCTACTTTTTTTCTTCTTTTTTTTTTAATTTTATTTTGGCTTGTCCTCTTTCTCTTATTTAACTTGTTATCTTTTTTTTTTTTTGATAGATTAATTTGCTACCGTCTTTCTCTGTGATCTCCTTTGTTTTAGAATTTTATCAACTTCTATAACATTAAGGTACATAGAGAGATCTATTAGGTTTCATTTTTATATTCATAATAATGTTGAAACATGCATAATATTATAATAGGTTATAAGTGGATACCATTTTTATATTACATTATATTAGTTTATAATTAACTTCGTTTATATTTGTGCCCCTACTAAATTCAAAGTCTGGTTCCGTCACTAGTTTCATATAGAGGTCTCTAAACGAAATTCATACCGATCCCTTCTCGGACAGACAGATTTGGCCTCAAAATATCTTTTGAACTAATAAGAAATATGTCGCCAATGTAGAGATGGTTCGAAGGCACATAAACGCAGCAGAGTTCTTCCTCCCCTGTGCTCTGCTGAAGAATAACTGTAGAAGAAGTGATGAATCCAAATGCATATTCCCCAATACGCGGATGCCTTACAATAGCCACTTCCTTGAATGCATTAGAGCTCTGATCTATAAAGCATACGTTAAATAGCTTCAAAAGTAGTAAACATAACTTGGAGCTAAGACTAAAATACATGTACTGGTCATTACCTGGTGATATTGCTGTACTTATTTGCTTTGACGCAGCATATATATAGCTTACAAAAGGCATTTTCTTGATGAACCATTCCCCAAGAGCAAGAACAGAAGCTCCCAACCACGATGACATGAAGATACCAACTAAAAAGATGAAGGATATGGAGGTAACAAATCCAAGACCTGCATAAATTCAGAGGTTGAAAAAGCCTTCATCAAATCCTATTGAAAATTCAACCAGATACACGATTGTACTGGTTTTTTTAAGATTTGTTGCAATAAAGGTCAATTAAAATTGGAAGAGTAAGGAATTTATAATGTTAAAAGCGTCTTGTTTGGCTCGATCCAATCAAATGCATTTATTTGGAATGACCAAGTTGCTTACTACAAAAGTTCTAACATTTTCTCTGTACCATAACCTTTTTTTTTTATAAAAAAGAAATTGAAAATCTGCTTACCAAAAACATTGATCCCAAGATGACTATAGATCGGAGAGAAGAAACCATCCACGAAACTAATGAAACCCCATGTGACGTAGAATGTGATGGCCATTGGAAGAAGAATGACACTGCAAGAAGAATCAGATAACAAAACCACGTAAAGCAAGTTGTTATTCATTTTGAAACTAAAATAAGTTGTTATTAACAAAACCACGGAACGCAAACAAATGTAAACTAATAAATAAAATAAAATTATTGCAGTCTATTTGACTAGTAATAAGTCTTGCACAGAAAATAACTCACCATCCAGACATAAATTTCTTTGAAGCCCAGCTCCTAATTACTTTAGAAAATGCATTCAAACAGAAAAATTTATATCAGAAAATCTCTGAATTTTAAGCGCAAAGAAAAGATTGAGGATAATTCTAACTATATTGTTTCTCTTCACGCATTCAAGTAGTAGGTCCAAATTCTATCGAACAAAATCCTGCATAAATCTGATTACAAATGCATCCAAAATCCCTAGCACTATAACCATGCATTCCTCTGCAAGTAACATTGCGACGATTCTCATTTTCTCAACAAGATCATCGCGGAATTCAGAAACGTCATCGAAATCAAACTAAGTAAGAACAATTTACGTTTAAGAAAACCGGATTGACGGAGAACAATTTACGTTTCCTCTTTGACGATAGATTGAAGCACACTCGTTTGCGCTCGATTCACGATTCATCTGCATGATTTCTCTCATCTCGAACAGAATCCCGAGGGAACATGAAAATTTCGCAAACCAGAAAACGAGAAAGTGTTTAGCGAGATAGAGAGAGAAAGGGAAACTGACCTCGCGACTCGCGACCAGAGTGATGAGAAATAGAAGGAGGTGGAGAGTCGGATGGGGAGGAGGATTTGGAGGCTCCATTTACAGAGATTTCCGAAGCTGGAATTAGGAGCTCCATATCATCTTCCCTGTTCCTCTCTCTCGTCGCCATTAATAAATCTCTTGTTGTCGTGTTGCTTTACAGATTCGTACAATTTTTTGGCCCTTATTGTGTTTCTCTTTCCGTAACGAACCACGTGAATGATCCAAGTTTGTTGCCAAAAGTTGGACGTCTTTTCAACTTTATATATATAGAGCGCACAAGTCAGAAGCTCATAATAATAAAGCTCTTTCATTGTAATAATATCGTATTAGCATGGCTGAGTTGAAACAGTCCCCAACTAAACGACGTAGTTTACATGTCTCTCTATTTTTTTCCTCTTTTAAATGAAGTCTCTCTCCGCAAGGCATTTTGCTTTTGTCTCCCCCCGTCAGGTATATTGTAAGGGTCGCCTTCGTTGAGTGACCATAACAATGATTTAGAAAGAAAAACGTGATGAGGCAAACAAGAGAACGATCTATAAAGGATTTTGTCTATACGGCAAACTAGGGACGTCAATACGGGTTACGACATGACAGCACGAATCGAAATCAATATGAAAATTGTGGGTTAGGGTTGAGAAAAAAAGGGGTACGGGTCGGAATTAGGTTGAACTGAATTTGACACTGAAAAAATGGGTCAATTTTGGGTTGGACCTGTACAACCCGGACACAACCCGCAATTCAATTGCGTGTCAATTTCATGTCAATTTCGGGTCCAATCCGACACGACCCGTAGAAAAAAAATAAAGACAAACCCTAGACATGCTTCCCTTCTCTTCTCAGTTCAGAGGTTGCCCGCTGCCGCCTCTTCCCTTCTCTTCACATCTGAATTTTCTTCCACTTCTTTCTTCTTCGTGTCCGTCCTTCTCTCTCCTCGAAATAGACTTTCTAACTTTGACCGCCATCTCCATTGAACTTTCCCTCCTCCATCTCTTAAGTCTATTGTAGATGAACAACAACGATTTAGAGGCACAAAGTGAGCACATTGAAGCAATAGATGTCGATATCGAGCTTGAGGAGGATGCGGTTGAGCTCACAAGCCTCGGTGGCCAAAAACCTCTCAAGAAGAAGTTGAAATAAAAAATTTGGAACTTTTTTGACATCCTTCCTCTTGGTCCAGACATAAAGCTTAGGAGTGCTTGCAAGAAGTGTGGGTAGCAAAGTCTTGCTGCTAGTAAGTATGGAGCAGGAAACTTGTTGAAGCATATTAAAACTTGTCCGAGATCAGATACTAGAGATATTGGTCAAATGTTTATTTCTCGTTATAGTAGCTTGTCATTAGGCTTTTGTTGCTTTGATTCTGAAAAATGACGTGAGATACGTTATAGTAGCTTGTCATTAGGCTTTTGTTGCTTTGATTCTGAAAAATGGCGTGAGTTGGTGACTGCTTGTATTGCTATGCATGATTTGCCTTTTCAATTTGTTGAGTACAAAGGATTAAAGGCTATGCTTTAATATATGTATCCTGATGTGGAATTAGTGTCTAGGAACACTGCTAAAGTTGACACTCTTAAGTTGTATGAAAGGGAGAAAATGAAAATAAAAAATATGTTGGATGCATGTCCTAATAGAATAAGTTTGACATTTGATCTGTGGACTTCATTAACTAATGATGGATATTTGTGCCTGATTGCTCATTTTCTTGATAAGAATTGGAAGTTGAATAAAAAAATCTTAAATTTTTTCTTATGCCACCTCCACACATTGGGATAACACTATCTGAGAAAATCTTTTCTATACTAAAAGCCCGTTTGGTTCATGGATTAGAACCATGAGATTAAAATTATTTTCAATTTACGTGTGTTTTTTGTGAGAGAAAATACTGTAGCGAACCATGATTCGAATCAGAGAACGAATCCTCCAACCAAACGGGCTCTAAGTGATTGGAGAATTGAGGAAAAGCTTTTTAGTATCACTTTAGATAATGCTGCTTCGAATGATGTCTCTGTGGATGCATTGCAAAATCAATTGAACTTGCGTGGTTTGTTACCTTTTCATGGTGAATTCTTTCTTTTGAGATGTTGTGCCCATATACTTAACCTTGTTGTGCAAGATGGTTTGAAAAGTATTGATAAGTCGGTTGAGAAGATTCAGGATAGTATTAAATATGTTAAAGGATCACAACAAAGGAAGCAAAAGTTTTTAGAATGTGTTAAGTTGGTATCGATGGGAAGCAACAATGGATTGTCTGAAAATGTGGTTACTAGATGGAATTCAACTTACCTTATGCTTGAAAGTGCTCTCTTTTATAGACTTACTTTCCAACATTTGGAATTGAGTGATTCTAACTATAAGAATTGTCCCAATTCCGATGAGTGGGAAAGAGTTGAAAAAATATCCAAGTTCTTGAAAGTCTTCTATGATGCCACACTTTTGTTTTCTGGCACAAGATTTTCCACAACAAGCTTGTATTTTTTAGTAATTATGGAATATTACATAACCCTGAAAAATGCTGCCCAAGGTGGAGATGAGTACTTGAAGTCCAAGGCTATGCATATGTGGCCCAAATTTCATACAATTTAGCCCTATTTTAGGCATTACACTTGTGTTTGATCCTCAGTATAAGATGCAGTTTATTGACTTTTGCTACAATAAAGCTTACGGGCATAACTCTGAGGAGTTGTTTTCTTTGCGTGAGAAGTTGGAATCCCTTTTTGCCGAGTATGCTTTGAAGCTTGATCATTCTGCCTCACCATCCACTTGCAAGAAAAAAGACAAGGGTAAAGCACCACTTAACGGGCATAACTCTGAGGAGTTGTTTTCTTTGCGTGAGAAGTTGGAATCCATTTTGCCGAGTATGCTTTGAAGCTTGATCATTCTGCCTCACCATCCACTTGCAAGAAAAAAGACAAGGGTAAAGCACCACTTGGAATGGAAGTAGATGACTCATATTTGTTGAAGGTAATATTTATTTTTCTTATATATTTGCATTCTTTTAAATAGTAATATTTATCTTAGTTACTAATGTTTTATATATTTTTTTTTCAAGAATTTGATGATGTTTCAAGTGATTTGTTTTATGCTTCAAACCAAAAATCATAGTTGGAATTGTATCTAGACGAGCTTATAATGAAATGGAGTTATCAGTTGGATATTCTCTCTTATTGGAAGACAAATCAGTGCCGCTACCCAATTCTTACTGCCATGGCTCATGATATATTATGCATTCCTATATCAACAATTGCTTCAGAGGCTGCATTTAGTGTTGGCGGTCGTGTGCTTGATCAGTTCCGTAGCTCCCTTAAACATGATATTGTTAAAGCAATTGTGTGTATAAGGGATTGGTTGTATGGAAAATGAAGGTATATTCTTCAAGTTCTTCATTGTTTGGTTACTTAAATATTGTTACTCTCAGTCTCATAACTACTAATTAGTTAAACTCTTTTTCCTAGATGGATTCAAAGTACTTCATCAAAAAGATATGGAGGACCCCCTCAAGACACTACTACAATTTGGCCTATTTGCGACGGAATTATTTGTGATGACATTTGTCGTCGCAAATAAGTGAATATTTGCAGCGACATGTCGTCGCAAATAATTTCATAAAATTGAAAAAATAATGTCACCACAAAAATGTCACATGTCGTCACAAATAATGGCTGGCGCTAGATCTCGTATGGCGCGAATTTTTAGCGCCAAAATAGCACTTTTTATGACGACATGTCGTCACAAATAGTCCATTATTTGCGACGCAAATAGTCCTGCACAAATAAATTTTAATTTTTTTTTCCCGAGCAAAAAGGATTATTTTGACGGGTGGCAAATTTTTTTTGTGATGACATTAATGTGTGTCGTCGTAAAAAGTGATTTGTATTCCCTCACTAATTTACAAGGTGGGGAAACTGGGCGGGACCCCAAATGTTATTTGCGACGACATTACAAATGTCGTCGCAAATAAGGATTCCAGAACCTTCCTCCCACAACATTTGTCATCACAAATAGGTATTATGTCGTCGTAAAAGAGTCTGTTATATGCCCACGAGCAGAGCCTCCTCCTCCATTTTCTCTGATCGGTTTCTCTCTCTCTCTCACTCGGCCTCTCACCGATTTTTTCTGATTTTCTCACCCCAAACTCTCAAAATCTCTTTGTATTCTCTTCAAAATCAATAATATTATATATTTTATTTATTTTTTCATCCAAAAAATCCCAAAATCTAAAATTCTGCTGCCACCGCTGAAATCCGCCGGTGCCGCCGAAGTCCACCACCGCCGTTACCCTTTGTCCCTGTTAATCTTGCCGTTTTCAACCCCCATTTTAGTGGGTTTGAATTTTCAAAGTTTTTTTGGTCCGAATTATTGTATTTGTTAGTTTAAAATTTATGAGTTTTTTGTTATTTGAATTATATATAATTATAGATTATAAATCTTAAAATTTGATTTATAGATTTTAGAAGTTTAGAATTAGTATATAATTTGAAATTTAGATTATAGATTAAATTTTAGATTATGAATTTTGAGATTGTTGAAATTTGATATTGAGATTGTTGAAATTTTAAGATTATAATTTGATTTAGGTTGAGATTAAAAGTTTTAATAATTGTTCTGGGTGGCACATCTTGCAGTTATGGTGTGCCGAAATCATTTGAAAATTATTTTTTGTAGGTTTGAATTTTTGGATAATAAGAAAAATATGTCGTTATAATGCATAAATTTTATTAAAATCTATTAATTTTAAGAATTTAATTAATAAGAATTAGTTATATTAATAGAAAGAAAATTAAAAATTAATTATAAACATTATGAGTACAACAATAAAAAAATAACTTGTTCATAAAATTTGATAAAACTTATAAAATTGAAGCATGAAATGTTAAACTTTCTTTATAAACGTAATTATATAGTTACAAGAAAACATGAAGTATGATTAGATGTGTTATTATTTTTATAGTCAAGATACCAATTGACAAGAGTTAGATACATCTAAAAAATTGGTTGTCTGATCAGTATTGGGAAGGGTTGTCTGCGTTTATCAATATTGCCAAAGATTATGTCGATAAAAGCAGTTGTACAAGTTGTCTGTGTCATAGGTGTTTAAACCATAATTGTTTTCCAGTAGAAACAGTTAGAGCACACATACACCAATATGGTTTCAATCCTTTATATACGACGTGGTATTACCATGGCAAAGACGATGTTGCGGCCAATCCAATAAATGAATCAGTTGACGAGATGGTTGCAGTTATACATGATGTTGTTGGAAATAACTTTGATCATGATATGCCAGAGGAAGTAGAAGCTGAAGTGTTAGGTGATGCGCAGCATAATGAATTTAAAGAGTTGTTATCTGAGCTCGAATCGACATTGTATCCAGGGTGTACTAAGTATTCCTCATTGAATTTTTTTGTGAAACTCATGCATTTAAAGGTGCTGCACAAATAATCCAATGAGTGTATGAACTCTGTTTTGAAGTTGTTGAAAGATGCATTTCCTGAAGAAATTAAACTTCCATATTCGTATTACGAGGTGAAGAAGAAATTGGGTAAACTCAGTTTGGGCTACAAAACAATACATGTCTGTAAGTATGATTGTGCGTTATTCTGGAAGGAGAATGCTGATCTATAGTTTTGTCTAGTATGTAACACCAGTTGTTGGAAGAGTAAAAAAATAAAAGGTAAAACAGTACCTCAGAAAGTATTACGATATTTTCCTTTGAAGGATCAATTGAGGCGTCTATATAGCTTGTGTCACACTGCAAATGAAATGATGTGGCACATGCGGGGGCGTTCGAACGATCCAGACTTAAGCGTCATCCCGTTGATGGTGTCACACTGCAAATGAAATGATGTGGCACATGCGGGGGCGTTCGAACGATCCAGACTTAAGCGTCATCCAGTTGATGGTAGGGAGTGGAGAGATTTAGATATGAAGTATCCTGAATTCGCTCGTGAACCAAGAAATGTTCGATTGAGTTTAGCTACTGATGGTTTTAATCCTTTCAGAAGCATGAGCTTATCATATAGTATGTGGCCGGTGGTTCTTATTGCTTACAATTTACCTCTTGGGTTATGCACTAAGGATCCGTACAAGATGCGTATAGTATGTGGCCGAAATGCCCCCGAAAAAGATATTAATGTATTTTTACGACCACTTATTGATGAACTTAAAGAGCTGTGGGAAGAGGGAATCATTTTCGTGACGCTGCTTCAAATGCATCGTTTAAGATGCGTGTTGCATTGCTGTGATCACAACAATGGGGACCTTACTGTGATCATTTTACGTCCCCTACTTTTCAGGTTCAATTTCATTATATTTTCTTACTTTTCATTAATTGGTTTATTTAATTATTAAGTATGTTACTAATTCATCTATGTTTATTGCTAGAAAAAATCTGCTACAAATCAACAAAATCGTGGTAGTCATAAGTGGTCTAGCTTCCATGGTAGAAAGTCATACTCCCAGCATCATTTCGATAAGATAATACTAATTTGCATACTTATTAAATTTTTGTCACTTTGGCTTAATATTTATTCTAACACTTTCAACTTGATTAGGCAAATCCCGAGACCCAAGAGCCAAGATCATTAATTGATAATTGGGGTGACATGCACCGTCATGGGCAGAATTTTATCAATTCGGATGCGGAACATGCATTTGTAAGTAAATTTTAAACTTATTTCTTTTTTCATATTTAACATAACATATTGTACTATTTTTATTCATTTTTATTTCATTTACCTTTGTAGGCTCAGATGGAGGTGGAAAGAACCACATAGATGACACAGTCTGCTGGGGAAGGTTCATCCACGGCAGTCAATGAGGAGGGGATTATATCCCAAGTCTTGGAAAAGCACAAAGGACACACTAAGGGAGTGGGACTGACACTACCACGGAGGAATCGTTCAAGTGCTTCCACCTCATCATCTGCTTCACAATCGGACGGGTCGTCTTCGGTTAATTTGCCCCAGCATGTCCAAAACTGGCTGAACAGCCTTTCATTGAGCAACGCAACATGTTTGACAACTAGCAGATCATGATGGAAGTCATGCGCTCGATGAATCTTAACATCAACTTCTTGTCAGTTAACTGCCCCCAACCGTTGGTTCCTCCGCCGCCTAAGCAAAATGAAGAAGACGAGGATGAGGACGACGATGTTGCTAATTTATGAGATTAAAATATCTGTTGTTATTTTTTTTATTATCAATACTTTTTAGTATTTCTTAATTATTTACTTTTCTAAGATGTATTTTATTATTGTGTTGACTATTTTATATCAATTATATTATTTTATTATAATTTTTTTTTTCAAAATTTTACCTTTATTAATTAATATTATTAAGAAAGTACAAAAAAAACTATATGCGACGACATTTCTAAGGTGTCATTGCAAATAGATCACATTACTAGTGATGACAGTGTCATCGTAAAATATTTTAAACACTTTTGCGACGACACTATGTCGTTGCAAATACTCTACAACACGTTATCATCAATGACATATTCGACGGAACATTCGTGGCGACTTATTCGCGACGACTGTCGTCGCTACTATATTTGCGACGACAGCTCAAAACTTTGTTGTCGCAAATATATCATTTGCGTCTAATTTTTTACGGCGACTAATTTGCGACGTCATGTCGTCAAAAATGCAGTATTTACAACGACATATCACCTATTTGCGACGACATTGAGTCGCCGCAAATGACCTTTTTTGTTGTAGTGAGAATGTGCTTGAATGGGGTTTTTATTATGGTTTTGTGTAATGGTTTCTTTTGCTTCATTTGAACTATGTGGGTGTTGGGACTTTGTTATGTAGGTTTCATGTGATGTTTTCTTTTGTATGCATTTAAACTTTGTTGTTGCTAAAACTTTATTATCTAGATCTAAGTTTGGACTTTAGTGTTGGAACTTTATTATCTATGCTTAGACTTTGGTGTGAGTCTTATGAACTTCGTTTTCTAGTAGGATTATTGTATTTTGAGATTAGACTTGTTATCTTATTAACTTTTTTACCTATGGTGTGAGTCTCATGTTTTCTTATGAATTATGAGCTATGATACTTTGTTAATTGTTACTATTTTAGAAGGGTTTTATCAATGAATGATATATGTAACATGTTATAAACTTTAAGATCTTTATAAAATGTATTGCAATCTACAATTTTGTGTCAATTTCAGTTCAACAATTTCGTTTTGTGTCGCAGGTTTGCGGGTCAATTTCGTGTCGCTTGTCACTTTTGGTTAGTATCATGTCAACCCACAACCTTACCGTGTTGTGTTCGTGTCACGGTTTTTAATTTTTTCATGTCACGGATCGTGTACAGGATTGCATAAAAAAATGACACAGGTACAAACACGACACACACAGGACACGCGACACGAATTGCCACCCCTACGACAAACAATGCAGTGCAAGAATTTGGTGGGTGTGGTCCTTCTTTGAAATGAATAATGAAGCCAGACGGGAAGTTTACAATTGACATTCTTGAAAAATATTTGTCATATAAACTAGGATTATCATTCTTGAATACACTGGTCATATAATAGGTCCAGATAAATTAAAATTTTCATAACCAAAACCAACCATCATACACTTCTCCAGTTTCCTTTAGGATTTACATAGATCATTTGACGCTGACGCATTTACATAACATACATGTACGAAAGCCTAGTACTTTCCCAACTTAATTTCGATTAAATGTATCAATTTATTCACACACATGACACATCACAAACCACGCAACAGGATAATTTCTGAGCATATCAAGAGGAAACAGAATACTTAAATTCCTATCCTCTGCGAAATTGCTCACTACTTTCCTTCGGGTCCCAAATAAGATAAGACGATGCCTTGCCCACAAATCAGGTACTCCCCCCAGGGTAAGAACAACCATTATAGCCTGCAAAAAGAGAAACCAGAAACGTACATTCTTGTTATGCTTACGGATAAATAATAAAATGATTAAGAACCCAAAATAGAGATACGCACTGGGATTGTTAGTGGAGAGAGTGGCTGTCTGAGAGAAATCACAGTTCCATGGATTCCTTCCAGCTGTTTGGTAAAGGAGATTCATGGCATAAGTAGCATGAGAAGCCACTGTGTTTGGTTCGAAACAAGCACCGCCGTGCTGAATTGCACTGCAATCAACCCCATGTCCACAAGCATAATCTATGTTAGCCTGCAACTGGGCATCAGACACTCCTGCCTTCGGCACACACCAAACTGTTTTCTTCGACTTTGGCGATGGATTCACCGGCGTCTTCGGTGTTGAACTCGGAGTAGGACTCTAAAAAATATGTTGGGTTCCAAACAAATGTTAATAAAATGCTAACAGCTAAATATACTTGGTCGTACAAAAGAATTCACAATAATAACATAAAATTTCAAACAATGCTAAGGCACATTCGCAGTGTTCAACTTCGCGCTAATAGGGGGTGGACCATGAGACTCACACATGGGCTCCACTTTCTATTAGTTGCGCTCGTTAAGCCTGATAATGCCCAAAAGCATTTTTATAGAATTTCTACCTGGCTACCGCTACTGGTCTTGGAGAGGCCAACGTCGTAACTCATGGAAAGGTCAGGCTTGAACAAGCCGAAGGCTCTCTCGGAACCAGGGCCTGGTTTCAAGTCCTCATCGTAGAGTGCGAACAGATAAGTGTCCACTGATTTCCCAGGCATCAACGGGGTTCCGGCCATCGACCGAAGGTGTGCGATCAGGTTACCGTTATAGGCTTTGGCGTTCTCAACACTTGGGCCCACTTCGTCGCCGTCTCCTTGGTAAGGCCAGCCCGTTTCCGCAACCACTATCTCCACATTCTTAAAGCCCAACGAGTTCAATGCAGATCGAATAGCGTCAACCTGTAGGTGACGGTTGACACCGCCAAATTTCATTTTCTTTTTTAGTATTTCCATATGTAGGCTGATTTTGACTTTTAAAAAAAATAATTATGAACTTTTTATTAGCTTAAGAAAGATCAAATTTTGAATTCTTTAAAAAAAAAAAAAAAAAAAAAACAAGAATTCGCCCATTTTTGAATTTTTTCTAATTTCACAGTAAATGTTAAACAAAATGAGATAAAATCACTATGTCTAAAGAAATCGCCCAGTTTATCTCCTCTGAAGTAATCACTATTTTATTTTCGAAAGATTATCTGGTTAGCTGACATATTGATATGTCAGATTTTTCAATCTTAAATTTATATATTTTTTAATTTTAGGGTGATTTTATTTTACAGACAAATAAAAAGAATTACAGATACAATGACGTTTACAAAATATATAAATAATTACAACAAATCTATGTTGTACAAGAAATAAAAATTAAGAAAAAAAATCACCTGAGCATCAAACATGTTCATGTACTTGATCTTGGTGTTGGAGTCAAACCGACCGGAGTTGGGTTGAAAGAGACAAAAGGCCAGTGTTTGGGGCCTGGGGTCGCCTCGGTAAGCGAAGTAAGGGTACGGATTGATGGCGAACGGCGAATCGGTGGCGTTGTTGAAGGCCAACATCCCTCGAAGCACCGGTACGAAGTCCGGATGAAAGCTTCCGGCTGAAGGTGGCTCCGATTGCCTCAGCACCGCCATGGAGTGGACCGTCGACACCTTGATTTTCCCGCCTAGGGACGCCGAATTGAGGGCGTTCTGGACATTCTGTATTGCCGGAAGCATCTGGTTGATCAGCCCCTGGTCGCCGGAGGTCATGACCTCGTTGCCGACGGTGATAAGGATGATCTTGCTCGCCGGATAGAAGGGGACGACGTTGGCGTTGACCCAGTTTTTTGCGAAATTGGGGTCGGAGGCCAGCGCCGGGATGTCGCCGTTCGCTGCGCCGATCACGATTCCAATCCCGGTGTTCGCCAGTGCTTTGATTATGGCCGGGTCGGCTCCGTACAACCGGACCTTCTCGATCGACGTGGATTGGAGCAGCTTCGCCGTCGCGGACGGCGGCGGGAGGTTGTCGGCAACTTGGCCGTAGTTTACGCCGATGAACGATTGCGAGTCTGCAAAGATAACCGTTAGCGTCATTTGAAAAATTTCTCTTTTTTCTTGGCTACTAAACAGAGAAGGAAAACAATCCAATTCTTGAAAGAAATTTAAAATTAAAACTTACTTGCGAGAGCAAGAGCCAGAAATAGAGAAACGAGGAAGAAAATCGAGGTACGAGGAAGCACGATCGCCATAGCCGACAATCAATGATTCTCTGTCTTTGTGTTCGTTGTGTCTGAAAGATTTTGGCCGAAAGTGAGGAAGAAATAGAGGGGGAAAAGCTGAGAGAAAAGGGGAGGGGCAAAACTGTAAAGTTACCTTTTCGGTGGGTTACCCTCTAACAACTTTTACCAAAGTGAAAGGCAGTAATCAAATTCCACCGCTTTTGGGGAATATGGAAACCGGAAGCTGTAAGTTTCTGCCGTGGATGCGACGCGTGGCGTTTTGCTTTCTTTAGTACGAGAGCCAATCAAAATTCAGACAAATAGATTAAGTTTTAACGGCTTCGTGTAGGGAAGAGGCAGAGACTGTTGGAGTGGTTTCGTCATTTGTGAAGAAGAGTGTTTATATACTTGGAAAGTAGCTGTTGCTAGATTTGTTCGCATTTACGTAAATGTCCCTTCATTGTGACCGTTAGAAGAAGCCATTTGGACTTTTGGTCCAAGACTGAGTACTATACAGCAAATTAATGGACTGTGTCCGTTAGAAGTATGATTTGGCACGTGATCCGGTTCTAGTGAAATGCGTTTTTTTTTTTTTTTTTTTTTTTTTTTTTTTTTTGGTAGGATCCAATGTGTGCAATCCAACTTTAATGTCACTGAATACAAAGAACCACATCTCTTTTTTTGAATTTTTCTTTTATATTCTCTCCCAACAAAAAATATTTTATGTTCTTCCCTTTTTATCTCTACTCTTTTTTTTTTCTTTTTTTTTTTCATTTATTTGTTAAATTTACTGAGTTCTATGGTAGAGTAAAGGTATGGTAAGGACGTCTGGAGGAATATCAACTAATAATGTAGAATATCTTTCTTAAAGTTCATACATCACCACCTGCGAGTAAGTTAAAAGTACGTTTTTAAACTTTAGATATAATTCGGCCTTAGACTTAGAGCACTAGCAAGCTATAGGGCCAAACCAAGTTTTTACTTACCAACTAAGAAATAGCATTCCCTTTGGTTTGAGAACGTGAAAACACTTGCTCGGCGCAAGAAAAGAGCAATATTATGCAATACAGAAAGCAAAGCATTTTGAACAAAAGCAGGCTATAGAATATTTGTTGCTTTTAGAAACGAGAGCATAAAGGTGGCCAAACTTTAAGATTGTGGGCAACATTCATTAATTGGTTCACAAGCAATCATCAGAATAAGAAATTGAAAAAGAAGATCTAACACGTTCCAACTTTGAATTTTTATGCCTCGTACCTGCTTCTTCGTCCTGTACTAATCCGCTTCTTTTGAACATTTTAGTCATAATAATTATTATGTACAAAGCACAACTCAGTGGAATTTTTCACTTCAATTTTTCCCCAACACAATCAATTTTTATGCAGTTTTGTGAGATCAAGTGATCAAAAGACATTGCTCAGAAAAGATCCTTTTGTGTGTGTGTGTGTTGGGGGTGGGACAAAGTGTTCGATGAGTGTATTCTTTTCACAACTCAAGTTATAATTCAAATTTTTTTTATGTAAGAGAAAATACTGTAACAAAAAATTTAAATTTAAATTTTTATAAGAAAGAATACTATAACAAAAGAAATTGTCATTGAAGTTGTAAAAAGAACAAGATCAAAATTACGTTATCAATTATTCTAAAAGCTTAAATTATTAGAAAGTGAACCATAGTTTTATATTCTAACACACGCATTATCCTTATTTTTGTATTATTTACTGGATTAACTTAACAAGAATATATATATTGAGTGGCAAAAGGCATGAGAATAATTATTATCTTTGTGCCCACTGTAAAGTATAGGCACATACTTTACCATCTCGCACTTTTAGACCCAACAAAGATCAAACTCGGAGATCATTATTGCGATCAGGCTACCATCTCGAACTGTTAGACCAAACCCGGTTAAGCAAAGATAATTGTTGTCTTTTAGGTACTAATATGTATGCATTCTTGCATCTTTAGAGAACTCTCATAAAGTATTTAAGTACGCATATTTGTGAATGGGGACCTCTTTTGTATTAGATCCGCAATTCCCTAAAGGGATTTTCATTTCAATGTCCCTGCTTTATTCAACATTGCGAATATCTTGGGCAACTAAACTTGGACAAAAAGCAAAGTTAATTATTTGACGAAACAAAAAAAAAAAAAAAAGTTTGAACCTTTGATAGATTATAGATTGCTTGCCAATGTTGCATTATCAAACATTGGAAACAGATAACCCTCAATTTTTACGACTGTTACTGTTTTTATTTCGTGTTCTTTTCTTCATCTGGTTTTTGGTGAAATTCCAATGTAGTTGGGGAGAAAAAAATAACCATTTCATGATGCCATTGCCGAATAGTCATATCAACCGATTCTTGCAGTATCTAAGGCCTGGAACTTGTCCGTGCCATAGCGTTGAGAAAAAGGTGTCCTCTATCATTCATTCTTCATGTGATATTTGTTTTGTTTTCTCTGTAACACGTATGATGTTGAGGTGCAACATAGCTAGCATAGTATTTCCCCAGCCATCCTTTCTAGTTCCCATCTTTCCTACTAAATATAGCCTTAATAGACGACGACATATAAAAGGCAAACTAAGAACAAATTAAATCATCACAAAAACAATAGCATTTATGGAGAACGACAATATTTTCAAAACAAAATATAGCATAGGAAAATGAATTTGGAAAACTGAAACAAATCTTGTGGACGATAGTATTTCAGGAATATGACATGATGACCGTATCCAGCAAACAACAATGCCCCATAAAACGACAGCATATGACGAGCAACATAATTGTAAAAACCACTTTTGTTCTAATAAACGACAACGTTTAGAACGCAAACAAAGAACAAACGACAAACAAGATCTCAATACGACAATGTTTAGAATGCAAACTTGATAAAGCGACATGATCCTGAGAAACGACATCAGCTTTTGGAACACAAGACTGAGAGAAAACGAAAACAAACGTATCTGCCACAATTTCGAGAAACAGGCGTCCTCTCCAGCGCACACCAGGGAGAGAACAGGGCCCCTCTACCATTCTCTATGGTTAGTGTTCTTCCCCCCCTAAAACACGTATGATCTCGAGGTCTCACATAGTCCGCAGAATATCTGTTGAACGAAGAAGAAGCATATCATAGAATGTGAAAATGATAAATAAATACTTGGACGAGTGTCTTCAATTAAGCAAAAAAGAAAAAATTACATTCTTTACCAAGTACATATATTAATTGGAATATTCTATCTGTAATATGCAAGACCTTGGTAATTTTCTTCCTTTATCCATTATGCAAAACAAAATAAACCATTTTTCTTTCGTTTTGATGATAATTAAAAAAAAAAAAAAAAAAAAATCTGAGACAAACTTCTCTAGTTGTATTGGTTCTTCTTTGTGAATTATGATGAATGGTTTAGTGAACACTCATTGATCGAAAGAGAAGCTCTCCTGTGATGTCATCTAGCAACCCATTGAGCAAATGCTTCTCAACATCTCTAACAACCTCATCCACTTCAATAAACGCAACCATGCTCTCATTCCAACCCATGTCCCACATGCAATTCACGTCCGGATCTTTGTTATAGACATCGCTTTCGAGCATTCTAGGCAGATATTCATCAGCTTCGCAATCCTCTTTCCCGTTTCTACCGTACAATCTCAACTTCTCAAATCCCTTGCTCAATTCTCTAACCAGCCCATCAAAGGTTGTTATCTTAACGAAACTTTTCGAAACTTTCACGCAAGGATGAACGGCTACCTCCTGCCTTCGTCCTTTTCTTCTCATTAGTTCGTATCCGCAGTCTAATATGAGCTTTCTGTCCTCGTGATTATCGTGTTGATCTTGATGGTCGTGAAGAATGTCAATTGGGATGTTGTCGAGTTTGAAGAGCGCTTCTGCTGTGTTGAGGAACAGTTGGCTCTTGATGATTATGTGCTTGAGGTGGTTCTCACTTTCTGTCAGTGGCTCTAGTTCTGGTTTGCTTTGTTCGACACTTTCAATGGTTATCTCGTGATTTGTGTCCGCAGTTTCTCCATTGTTTCCTGCAATTTTCAATGACAAAGATCGCTGATTTGATTAGTACATTGTGTTTGTATATTCCTTATGGCTAGACTAGTTGGATTATATGAGAATAATGGAAAATGTTATTCAAAATGACAATTTTAAAACTCTTTCAATATATATATATATATATATATATTTCAGGAAATGAGAACATCAGAAAACAATAGCGTTTTCAAACGACATAACTTTATGAAAAAGCTCCAAAGACTACATACGACAACATTTTGGAAACGACAAATCTTATGAAAAAGCTCCAAAGACTACATACGACTTTGGAAAAAAAAAAAAAAAAAAAAAAAAAAAAAAAAAAAAAAAAAAAACAACGGCATCTGTTGACAATAACTCATTGAAACGACAACATATAAAACAAAGGACAAAATTTACGGCAAAAATTCTAAAAAGACAACGTCATGGAAAAAACGACGCAATTTATTAGAAACAGTGCGAACTGTACGAACGACAATATTTAAGAAACGACAAAACAGAATTTGCAACGGCAACGTATCTAGAGTACCTCAAATCAAGGGAAAACAACATCATATATGAATTAGTTTCTAAAAAAAGATCATCAACAAGAGAAAATGCTCGCATCAATTAGTAAGCGAGCAAAAAATTATAACTCGATAAATTGACAACATTTCATGAAAATGACGACACTTCTAAACTGTAGAAGGTGATTAGTTTGTAATTTTGAAAGGTGGAAAACACAAATCTATAAGAAAGAACTGTACTTACCATCAAGTTCATTTACAACATCTGAGCGGCATAAGAGTTCTTGATCTTCACACAAAGGTGCTCGATCATGTTGATCATTAGGTATCACATTTTGGGACTACATGACAATCAACAATATTTATCACCACCAAATTATCATGTAGTTTTATATAGTTTAAATGAACCAAAGTTACTTGTATTTATAGATGAAATGAATTGAATAATTTTGAGATGTGGTTCACACTTCACATTCAATGAGCTTATTAAAAATGGACTTACAGTATCATTTGGAGCCTGAGTCTCTGGTTCTTTTAGGCCTAAAAAGTCATCCTTCTTTGAAATAGACAGAGTGGTTGGCTTCTCAGTTTCTATATTCATTTCTTGGGCCAAATCTGTGAGCTCATCATTTGCTGCGTCTATGTCGGATTTACTGATGTGTGGTTCTGCTTCTTCTGGTCTTGTGCCACTAACTTTTTCAAGCCTCCTTGGCTTCACTTCTTTCAGAACAGAATTCTGATGTCTTAAGGGTCTTGACATGTTGTTCAATGTCCCATTTCTTCTAGCTACAATCTCATCGATTCTCCGAGTGGA